AGACTGATTTCTCAGAGTCACACAAACAGCTCCAATTCGGCTGGTGGCAAGAGACTGTAGCATGGTGACTTCCATTGGGATATTTTAGGTGATGCTGGGAATTGAACCCAGGGCCCTGTGGATACTAGGCAAATGCTCTATACTGAGCCACACCCCTAACCTGCCATGTTCATTTTTAACCGGCTCTTCTGGGGCCTGGTGTAGTACTTCAGTGTGAAACAATAGCTTCTAGCTTCCTATAATTTATGTTCCACTCATATACAGAGAGAAAAAGGAAGGAAGGAAGGAAGGAAGGAAGGAAAGAAATTCTCAATTTTTTTTGTATGTGTTTGTGTGAGTGTATTGCCTGCATGTATGTAAGTGTACCTGTTGTGCAATGCCCACTGAGGTCAGAAGATGGTGTCGGATCCCCTGGCATTAAAGTTACAGGTAGTTGTTAGCTGCCTTGTGGGTGCTGGGAATTGAACAAGAAATTCTCAATTTTTTTTGTATGTGTTTGTGTGAGTGTATTGCCTGCCTGCATGTATGTAAGTGTACCTGTTGTGCAATGCCCACTGAAGTCAGAAGATGGTGTCGGATCCCCTGGTATTAAAGTTACAGGTAGTTGTTAGCTGCCTTGTGGGTGCTGGGAATTGAACCCTGGTCCTCTGCAAGAGTAGCCAGTGCTCTTAACTGCTGAGCAGTCTCTCCAGCCCCATTCCCATTATTTTTAAGAACTTAGTTTATAAGAAAGGAGACACAACTGTGAGCAGAAAACAATCTTTTGTGTTGTTTTGTTTTGTTTTGTTTTGAGACAGAGCCTCACTTTGTAGTTTTTAGTTTTCAGGTTGTTCTAAAACTTACTATGTAGCCTCAGGCTGGTTTGAACATCGAGCAATTTTCCTGCCTCAGCCTTCCAAGTACTGGGATTAAAGCTGTGAACCATCATACTGGGCTTTGAAAAAAATAGTCTTAAAAGCCATATAACAATCTGGCTATAGTGATACATGCCTGTTTTTTTGTTTGTTTGTTTTTTTGTTGTTTTGTTTTGTTTTTCCAGCCTTTTTGAGACAGGGTCTCCCCGTAGCCCCAGCTGGCCTGGAACTTGATATATAGACCAGACTGGCCTTGAACTCACAGAGATCTGCCTGCCTCTGCCTCCCGAGTGTACCACCATGCCTCGGTTGTGATACATGCCTGTGATGTATCAGAAAGCTGAAGCAGGAAGATAGTGAGGGAGGCCAGCCTGAGCCACAGTGAGACTCACAAGAAAACAAAAAACTAACAAAGCGATGTAGCATTCCCTTATAAATTATAAACTAAATGCTATTTCATAAGTGAATGTATCTAGAAACATTTAAAAATCAACTGGATGTCATAGCTTTGTAACACTTTGTTTTCTTTCATGGTGGTAGATAAAGGCAGCGCCTTTTAACAATTGGTATATTAGAGTCAAAACATGAAATAATTAAACGACTATTTTACAACAGCAAAGAAATATCTGTCATCAAGAGAATGGGAAAATCTCCTTTTTATGTGCATTCAACAAAGTGAATAATCTGACTCCGCTAAGCTAGGTCAGCACTATCATCATTGCTGATACTTGGGTTTTTTATTTATTTATTTTTATTTTATGTGTATGAGTGTTTTGCCTGTAGGCAAGTGCACCACATGTATGTAATGCCCTCAGTGGCCAGAAGAGGGTGTCATATCCCCAGACTGCAGTTACTGAAGGTTTTCAGGTGCCGTGTGGGTGCTGGAAACCAAACGCAGGTCCTCTGTAAGAGCAGCCAGTGCTCTTGACTGATGAACCATCTCTCCAGTCCACTTTTTAAAAAATATTTTATTATTTTTATCTGTATGAGAATATTTTGGGTATGAAGGCAAGTGTACCTGTGTCTTGTAATGCCTGGGGAAGTCAGAAGATGGCGTTGGATCCCCCGAAACTGGAGTTTATAGACAGTTGTTAGCCACCATGTGGTTGCTGGGAACAGAACCCAGGTCCTCTTCAAGAGCAGCCAGTGCTCTTAATCTCTGAGCCATCTCTCCAGGCCCCACTTTTTAAAAAAACCTCATCTGTACTTACCTCTTGAAGCAGAATGTGACTTGGGCACTCCATTCACAAGCTCTGCTGAGTTATAAGACCTAGGTAAGCTTGGGGTTTGTTCTCAATACTTTACTTTGGAAAACAAGCCCTGTAGGGAATTCCTCCCATCAAGCTTCAGTTTATGTGCTTGTTTCTAGGACTAGAACATGCAGAATTAACTACAGAGGATGGAAATCTTAAAAAGAAGATATTAGGGTCTGAAGATGTGGCTCAGTGTTAAGAGCACTGGTTGCTCTTGCAGAGGATCTGAGCTCTTTCCCAGCACCAACATGGCAGCTAACAACCATCTGTAACTCCAGTTCCTGGGGGATCTGATGCCCTCTTTTGGGCTCTGCAGGTATTGCATTGCATGGGTATATTTACATACACGCAGGCAAAATACTCAATACACATAAAAAATTTTAAAAATAGGGGACTGGCGAGATGGCTCAGCAGTTAAGAGCACTGGCTGTTCTTGCAGACAACCTGGGTTTGAGTCCCAGCACCCACATGGCAGCTAACAACCATCGGTAACTCCAGTTCCAGGGGACTCCAAGGCCTTCTTCTGATCTCTGAAGGCATTGCACAACACAGGTGCACTTACATACATGCAAGCAATACACTCATACACATAAAAGAAAAATAATAAAATATAAATAAGTAAATAAGCCAGGCATGATGGCACACATCTTTAACTCCAGCACTTCAGAGGCAGAGGAATCTCTGCCAGCCTAAGGCCAGCCTAGTCTACATGTAAGTTCCAGGCCAGCTGGGGCTACAGGAGACCCTACCTCAAAAAGGCAAAAATAAATAAAAAAAGAATTTTAAAAAGAGGATTCTAGAAGATGAATCCCAAATCATTCTAACATTTTATTTTTCTTTTAAACATGTATATCTCAGAACGCTTCAGTGACAAAAGATTTTGGTCTACTAAGGGATACAGTTTGACAGCTAAACACTTCAGGCCACAGAGTTACATTAGGTTACATTATGTCTGACAACAAACATTCTTCCAACCTGTTAAAATAAGGCAAGGCGCACGCACTTGGGAGGCAGAAGCAGGTGGATCTCTGTGAGACTGAGGCCAGCCTGCTCTACATAGCAAGTTCCAGACCAGCTGGGGCTACAAGGAGACTCTGTCTCAAAACAAAACAATATGAAAATAAGCCAAGGTGAAATCAGAAAAAGCATTCCTAGCTTTACTTTACTGTCTAAGGTATCACAGATCAAGATAGAAGGAAATCCTATCTTCCCCTTAGTTATCATGCCACACAGATTTTTCAAGTGTTAATAAAATAAACACAAATTCTAGAAAATATGTTATCTGAAGGAATGAAGGTAAGCATTGAACACGTGGTCACTCAAGTGGTTCTTCTAGTGAAGCTTAGTCTTTTTCTCCCATGTGTGATGTGTTGTCGTCTCTTTCAAAGGGCAACATTTCTTCAGTTCCAGCAGCACTGGTTTCGTATAAGCGGTAGAAACATCCTCATCAATACCTAAACCAAGGCTGATCATGCTGTAGACCTTGTTAGCTTGTGTCTGGGAATCTTCCAGACTGAAGCCAGAAGACAAAAGTGCAGTTTTATACAGCAGGGTGACAGCTCCTCCAGAGACTTGTTATTCTTGTCAGTCTCTGCCTTTTGCCATAAGGTCTCAATAGCGGAGGGGTTGGGGGGTTACCTCCAAGTCCTTCCTTTCTTTCTTTCTTTCTTTCTTTCTTTCTTTCTTTCTTCTTTCTTTCCTCCTCCTCTTCCTCCTCCTCCTCCTTCTATTTTTTTTTTTTTTAGTCTTTTTGAGATAGGGTCTCTGCTGGCCTGGAACCCACTATGTAAATCAGGCTGGCCTTGAACTCACAGAAATCTGCCTGCCTCTGCCACCTGAGTGCTGGGATTATTTAAAATAAAATTTTTAAAAGATTTGTTTTTACTTTATGTGTAGAGTGTTTTGTCTATATGTATATACATGTACCACATGCATGCAGTACCTGCAGAGGCCAGAAGCAGATTCCCCTGAAACTGGAGTTATAGACAGTTGTTAGCTGACATGTGGATGCTGGGAACCAAGGGTCCTCTGCAAGAGCAACCAGTGCTCTTAGCTGCTGAGCCATTTCTCCAGCCCTCATTATGGCATTTAAAAAATATATACATCATTGTACTTTGCTCATATTCACCACCTTTCTATCCTCTCTTTCCTCCTTTGAAAAATGCATATATATATATATATATTAGTGATATGAGGAATACAGATATTTGTAACGTAGTTGACAATGAACAAACACTTAAAAAATGGTAATAAAAGTAGTTAGGTAATTAATGTGAAATCTATGATTAAAACGCATTGTAAAGTCGGGCATAGTGGCTCACACCTGTAATCCTCAGCTCTGGGGAAGCGGAGGCAGGAAGGTAACACGAATTTTGGCCATCCTGGGCCACACAGTGAGTTGCAGACCTACCTGGACTATATACAGTTGGATCCTATCCCCCAAACGTAAACAACAAAACCAGAGGAGGAAAGAAAAACGATAAGAAACTAGGATTTTTTTTTCTTTTTCCATCCTCTAGAATTTGCATCCAGGGTGATGGTGCTTGTCGGTAATTCCAGCACTCCGGAAGCTGAAGCAGGAAGATACTGAGTTCGAGGCCAGCCTGGGATACATAGGAGGCCCCTGTCTCAAAACAAAAAATAAAAAAAGGTTGGGACTGGAGAGATGGCTCAGCAGTTAAGAACATGTACTGCTTTTACAGAGGACCCAAGTTCAGTTCCCAACACCAGTGGGCGGAGTCTTCAGCTGCCCCGCCCCTTCTCCCCCGCGCTCGGTGTTGTGCTGCGCGCTCTCTGGCGGCCCTGCCATCCTGCTGGGCCTCCGGTGTCCGCAGGAGTTTCCAACCCCACAGCGACACCAGGTGGGCGGAGTCTTCAGATGCCCCGCCCCTTCTCCCCCGCGCTCGGTGTTGTGCTGCGCTCTCTCTGGCGGCCCTGCTGTCCTGCTGGGCCTCCGGTGTCCGCAGGAGTTTCCAACCCCACAGCGACACCATGCTGGGCATGATCAGGAACTCGCTGTTCGGGAGCGTGGAGACGTGGCCTTGGCAGGTCCTGAGCACCGGGGGCAAGGTAGGCCTGCAGGGCGGCGAGGACCTGAAGGAGGACTGCGCGGCTCCCCCACCCTGGCCGGGGCTGGAGCGGGTGCTCAGGGTGGGAACGTCGCCCGATCCGCGATCTGGGTCCGCTGTGGGCACGCAGTCCATCCAGCGCTGGTCCCGGGAAGGAAGGGAGAGCGAGGTCCCGCTTAGCAGAGTGGACAGGGGAAAGAAAGCTGACCGGGGAAGGATCCATCTTGGTGAGTCAGACACTGCCTGTTGAATGCATTCGTTTCTGAAAACACTCCAAACCCTCGGAACTTTTTTTCCTTGAGACAGGGTTTCACCTTATAGCCAGGCTCGTCCATCCAGCGCTGGTCCCGGGAAGGAGGGGAGAGCGAGGTCCCGCTTAGCAGAGGGGACAGGGGAAAGAAAGCTGACCGGGGAAGGATCCATCTTGGTGAGTCAGACACTGCCTGTTGAATGCATTCGTTTCTGAAAACACTCCAAACCCTCGGAACTTTTTTTCCTTGAGACAGGGTTTCACCTTATAGCCAGGCTGGCCTCCAACTGGCAGCAGTCCTCCTGCCTCAGCCTCCTTCTGTGCTGGGATTACACCCAGGCTACACTCGGTTGCAGAAATGACTGATAAAAACCCTAGCCAGCCAAACAAACAAACAAACAAAAAACAGCCTCCCAAATAAAAGGAGCGTGTGCTGCACAGGAAGGAGCAGGCATTTCCGTCAGGGGCGTTGAGGGGGCCTTCAGATATTGATCTATGCCTTAAGGACGTGCTGGAGCTCACAGAACAGCAAGGAGCGTGTGCAAAGGCTCCAAGCTGTACAGTTTCATTTGACAAATAGAACTAACTGTTAGTGCTGGAGGCACAGAATGAGTGAGGGGGTCGCAACTGCTCCGTTCCCCCCAATTTACATAGCTCTGGGCTGAAGTGGTCAAACAGGCCTGCTTTCCTAAAAACAAGTTGGCTACTCAGTTATAATCTTGCAAGGCGTATTTTTTCCCCTAAATTGATATTTTATTGGTTGGTTGATTGGTTGACGGATACTGGGGTTTGAATCTAGAGCTTGTGCATAGTAGGCAAGCACTCTACCATGGAGCCACATCCTTGGCCAGACAGGTACTTTATACACGTTTCTAGCACAGTATCTCTTTATAAAGACTCTAGATAAAGGAAAGGACCATGTTTCTGGGGATGGGGGGAATTCTAGAAGTGACAGAATGTACAACTGACGGTTGTACATCGCACAAAAGCCCCCTCGACTCCAGTCTGTACTCAACCAGCCAGAAACGGGGGAAGCCATCTGTCCCTGTTTCCCCAATTGTAGAAGCATTGAAGGCCTGATCAACACATTAGAGGCCTTCAGCAGCCAGATACTGAAAGTGAAGCTGACTGGTTGGAGTATAAGGCATGGTGGAGACTGGAGCAAACTGGAATGGGTTCAGGTCTTTTACCATGAATGGTGCCTCCAGCTAGTTTTTGCTATTCAGTGAAGTGGGCCACTATTATTAGCACATTTTTCCCCCTTCAGTCCTGGGGATTGAATCCAGGCCTGGCTAGTCAAGTGCTTTACCACTGAGCTACTTCCCCAGAATCAGTGTTGTCAGATCTCTAAGGAAAAGCCAGATATCCAAGTTCTCTGTGGGAAACCCCTCAATTTAAAATGAATTTTTTCAACAAATAAAATTGTTTGGCGTGCCCACTGAACCAATGGGGATAAACAATGGACAGATTCTTTTGTGCGTGGTGGCTCACACCTGTGATCCCAATACTCAGGAGGCAGAGGCAGGAGGATTGCCACAAGTTTGAGGCCAGTAGGAGCTACATATTGCATTCCAGGCTGGAGCTGTGTAGCAATGGAGTGAAAAAACAACAAAAAGCCCTACTGTGATGGAGCTTATGTTTCAGTGACCAGTGAACAAACAAGGAATAGATGCTATGGGGTGGGAGAGATGGCTCAGGGGTTAGGAGCATGTACTTACGGCTCTTGCAGAGGACCCGAGTTCAGTTCCCAGCACTCGGCTGTGAATCCCGAGGCTCACAGCCCCCTATAACTCCATCTCCCAGGGATCCAGTGTGTCTTCTGGCTCTCAGGCACTTCACTCATATGCACAGACCCACACACAGACCCACACATACACACAATAAAAAACTAAGTCTTAAAAAAAGAAACATACACTGTGTATCAGGTGCTTAACCATGCTAAGAAAAACAAAGTGTTTGGGTGTAGCTTAGTGGGAGAGCACTTGCTTAGCATGCACAAGGTCCTAAGTTCGGGTTTGACCTCCCCCAGTCCCAACAAAGAAAAGAAAAAGGAATTTATGGAATACCGAGTTACCATTATCAGAATGGGGAATGTGGCTTTGAGTAGGTCAGCTTTGCCAGATTTAACCGTTAGCCACTGACTGAAAACAGGTCAGATGTGGTGGCACATACCTGTAATTCCAGTCCTTTGGAAGCTAAAGTGGGAGGATCAGGAGCTGGAAACCAATTTGAGCTACATAATGCAGTTTAAGGCTAGCCTGGCCTGCATAGCATGGCTCTGTCACAAAACTAACCAAAAGTTTGAAGGATTGGGGAGATGAAGGCCTCCGTCAATAAAGTGCCTCCATAAACACGTAGATCTAAGTTCGGATCTCCAGCACCCAGCTAAAAAAGCAGGGCATGGTGGTGCATGTCTGATCTCATCCCTGGGAAGGTGATGCAGGAGGGCCCCTGGGGCTTGCTAACCGGGCAGTGTAGCTGAATTCATGATCTCCAGGTTCAGAAAGAGGCCCTGTCAAAAAAAAAAAGGTAGAGAGTGACTAAGGAAGATATCTGACATTGATCTCTGTCCTCCACAGCATGCATGCACACATGTGTGCGCACACAAGTCTGTGAACACTGCAGGGTCCCTGTGTAGACCAGGTCACACCTGTATGCAAGTCATACCTCCTGAGGATTCCTGTGGCTCTAACCTATGAAGGACTCATGAGTCCCAGAGCTTTTATTTCTCTAGTACATGGGGCTCAGTCTTGCAGGGCGAATGGAGGCTGTGAATGAAGCTGGAGGGTCCCAGCTGTTCTGTGACTTATGCCCTCAGATTCCTTCCTCACCCACTCCCAGCTCTGCTGTGTGTCAGTGGAAAGCTGAGGCCGACTCCTACAGGCTTTGCTTTCCAGACTCAGCTAAGTCTGCGCTGTAGGGCAGCACTTATAGGGGATTGAAGAAGGAGAAAGCACTGTGAGGCTTTGGCCTCCATGGTGAGTGACCCAGGCATCTGAGCCAGGTAACAGGCAAGCCTGCCTCCTAGCATGCTTACAGATCTCTGGGCTGCCTCCCTGTCCCATCTGCATCTTGGCTTTCCTGTGCTGTGCAATCAGTCCCTTGCATCAAAGAGCCTCTGTTCGGAATAATCTAATAGCTTCTGTTTCCTGCTGGGGCCTTGCTGATCTGTTGTCTGCCAGTGGTTTGATGATTTGGGGGCTAAACATACTTCCTTAATGAACATTGTTTTTTACATTTAATAGCAATATAGGGTCATGTAGGATAACGTTACCAGGCAGAAGCATATCATTTCATCCATGGGTCTCAGTTTCTGCAGCTGTACAATGGGTATAAAATACCTTTTCCCATGGATCTCATAATGAAGGACTATAATCCCAGCCACTGGGAAGGCTTGGACAGAAGGATCATGAGTTCAAGCCCTACCTGGTCTACAGAGTGAGTTCAAGGCCAGCTTGTGCCATTTAGTGTGAGACACTCAAATTTTTAAAAAGGGTTGAATCTACAGCTCAGGGTAAAATACTTACCTAGCATGAATGAGGCCCTGGATTCTATCCCCAGCACCAAATAATAGATATTTTCCATCTGCTCCATTTACTGTGGTAAATACTAATTTTTAAGTATGCATATATATTATATATATATATATTATATATATATTATATATATATATAAACTGTCTAAATTCACCTCAGTCCCATTATTAACATCTGTGTGGTCACAGGCACATGACTTGAAGCTAAGCATTGAAAGGTTTTAGTTAAGGACTGGAGAGATGCCTCTGGTCAAGAGCACTGGCTGCTTTTGCAGAATACCCAGGTTTGACTCCCAGCACCCATATGGCAGCTAACAACATCCGTAACTCCAGTTCCAGGGGATCCAACGCCCTCTTCTGACCTCCTCTGGCATTGCATGACATGTGCACTTACATACATGCAGGCAATATACTCATACACATAAAATAAAAATAATATATTTTTTAATTTAGTTAATTTTTGTTTGTTTGAGACAGGGTCTTGCTAAGTAGTCCAGTCTAGACTTAGACTTACAGTCTTCCTCCCTCCATTCCTCAGTGCTGGGATCACAGGCTTACACCACTATGCCCTACCTGTTCATGGAGTATTTTTTTTTAATACTTTTTTTGGGGGATTGATGGATTTTTATTTTTTAGTGTATGAGTGTATCGCCTGCATGTTATGTAAGTGCACCACCTGTATGCAATGTCTGTGGAGGTGAGAAGACAGTGTGTGATCCCCTGGAACTAGAATTATAGATGGTTGTTAGCCACATGTGCTGGGTTCCTCTGCAAGAGCAACCAGTGCTCTTAACTGCTGACCTCTCTCTCCAGCCCCAGTTCATGGAGTCTTAACAGAGTGGAAGTTTCAATAAGTTTCAATATCCCAGCACTTGGCTGGGTGCTGTAACTGGTGGCTTCCTTTTTGTTTTACTGGTAATTTGGGGCAAGATACTGTCTCAATCACCCTAAACCCTCAGATTCTTCAACTCCAAGAGAATGGCTGTGCTCCTGTGACAAGCGATTAAATACATGCAAACTTTTTTTTTTTAATATGCAGAGTTAAGGTATTATAATTTTACAGAGCTCTCCCCTTGAATATCATCTATGTTATCTTGAGAGTCTGGGTCAGAAACCATCATCTACTCCTTGGCAGATAGATAGTGCACTGTGGACCCCATGTGATGCAGGCTTTAGGCTGTCCTGGGGCTCAGGACTGATTCCTGGCAGACCTTAT